GTCGAGGTTTAGGACAGAGTCGCGGTTCCTCAATATCCGATACGCCTGTATGAGATCTCCTCGAATCTGCCTGTATCCAAGTCTGCAGTTGTAAGGCAAAGTCTTGAGGTCTTTCACAACTTTGGTCGCCCTCCCCTGAACTATTTCTAGCATTTTATAGTCTTTTTTAGCCATGGGCGCCACGCTTGGATTCCATGTTCCAGTTGCGAACTAATGAACACTCCCTATTCTTTTCCAAATTACTCTTTGCCTATATCTATGAAAGTTCGTTTAATATCATAGAGAACACTGGTTGCCCTTTTGGCCACCCTAACGCACTGAGAGGAAGGCTTAAGAATCGACAAAGTGTTGATCCCAAGACCTTTTTGGTCGGTCACATTTGAAAGGCACTTTCCACCAAGCTGGTAATGGTGATCCTCTCCATCGGCTATTCCTGTCGTTTTGAGTCGCAGCCCGACGCACTTCTCAAGGTTAAACTTCAGCAGCCATTTGTCAGATCATTCGCATAGGCGGTTCAGTCCTTCTTGCAGGGCCCGTTCATAATTTTCCCCGTTGATCGCTCGCCATAACTTAATGTCATCGGTAGACATGACTTCATTACAGTTCACTCCATTCATGCAGTCGTTGACATAAATTAAAAACAGTACTGGTCTGAGTAGAGAGCCCTGGGGATATCCACTGATAATTGGCACTGGCGTTGACTTCGAACTACCAATACATACAGACTGTTATCGACCAGTCAAGAAGTCTTTCATTCATTTTAATAGGTTTCCCCTTATCCCTGACTCTCAGACCTTGTAAAGTAGCCGGTGGTGTGGAGCACTATCAAAGACTTTCTTGAAATCGATGTAAACGATATCGATCCTTGTTCCTTTGTCTGATGAGCGATACCACAGTTCCGTTGAATGGAGCATATTAGTTCCACTTTCCAATCAGAGGGGAGAATGCCTCAGTCAAAGGACGACCTGAAGATATGCAAAAGCGGTCTGGCGAGTTCGCAAGCCAACTCCCTCAGAACTTTTGCCGGTATTTGGTCTGGACCCGGAGACTTACCCCCCTTAAGTGCTAAAAGTTCATTCCTTACATCTTCTTCCGTGAATTAGATGTTTTCTATTATTTCGTCGGTTGTTCCAGCAGCCAATCCAGCCTCGTCAATGTCCGTTTCATTGGGGAAAACAGATACGAAAAACCGCCCAAGATCTTTTGCCTTAGCATCATTTTCGATGGTATCCTCACTGTTTTCTCCTTTCAACACTAAGACCGTCTCCTTGTTCTTTAACCTACTGTTGATGTAACTGAAGTGCACTTTTGACTTATTGACGGCCCTTTCCATAATTAACGTTTCACACTCGACCTGCGTTCTGCAACCTGCTTATAGCCGACCTTACCCCGTTTGGCTTTCGACAAAACTGTTCGAATGGGATGGTTGATTTGTTGTTGCTTACCTTCTCCAAAGTTTGTTCTTCCGGTTTACTTCTTCCTTTAACTCCCGCTTTATCCAGGCAGGATGTGTTCTCAGCTGGGCTTTCTCAGGCACTGAGTTAAAATTTCCAGTGTTATCTCTAGCACTGCGTGAGTTAGGTGTGGATTTACTCAGGGCAGTGTACTTGCCCGCTTTTGTTTTGCATTCTTTTCAATGATGCGCCAGACTTGTTCTAGAATGCCAGACCTTCGACTTACAATGAAAATGTGGAATTGGCCTACCGATGCAAACCGGAATACGTCAACAGCGTGCTCGAACTCTTGAAGTACGACTTTCAGGACTTTGCCCAGTGATGTTGCACAAAGCGCCTTCCGCTTCTTAGCACAAGTGCTTATTTGTGGTTGTCGGCGACGATCACCAGCCTCATCTAATCGTTGACGGTCAATAAGGTCACCCTAATTAGACGCACCACGAACGTTTTGAACTCAGATGACTCTAATCCTTGTGTTTTCACCGATTAGAAAGGGGATTCTTTTTACTGTTTATGATTTATACTGTCGTACGTTTAATCTGTTCACCAATTTGAACCATCTTAACTACCCTCAAGACATCGCTTACCGCATGGTCGTTCTATCTTTTCCTTCGGCACGCACAGTTAAATATCATCCTTTCTTTTCTGCAAACTCAAGTGTTGTCTGAAATCAATTACCCAAAAACATAAAAATTCTATGAAATTACTTTCTGTTTTAACGAACCATCACCCAATTTCGGCATTCAGAACGAACTCTACAATACCTGGGTGCTGAATCCACCGAAATAGTCATTCGTATTGATGGAGTTCATGGTTTCTGATCCCTAAGTAAGGTCATAGATTGAGTCGAATGGCGCTAGCATTGCGGCCTAACATGGCTAACTTCCGTTCATCCATGTCCCATTGTCTGGTACATTGCCAAAATGCTGTGAAATGGGACGGAGGCTGCAAAATCCCGCCATACTCGTGCAACTATTACCGTTCTGGACTGTCGTCGTTTAACGTGCAACAGTTTTTTTCTTCTAAGCGGCTCAGCTTACCCAGTACCAAACAGAATCCACAGGTCTTTCTCTGCTGGCTCGATCCACACAATATATATCTATATAATGCCAGCGAATTCGCGTCCTTCCGTCAGTTAAATTAGTAAGGCTGGCAGTGGCGCCTGCATTGGTAACTGCCTACGGGACGCTTCTGCCGAATGTCATATAATATGTTACCTTGTTACTTATGAGCCGCAAACTAATTTTACCGGGAATGCCCAAGACAGCCCCTTCTAAGATACGAACTTCATGAAAAGGTGTAGGACAAAATCATCATGGTCGGCGACCAAGACCGATGGAAAAGCCTTCTGAATGAGGGTAGACAGTGTCAAAAACCTTCATGCAGAATCCCGGCATTTACACCTTTAGCACCATCTGGGCAGTGAAGAGCTGAATTCAATAGCATGATTACGTACATGGCAAATGTGTTCTAGGTCTTAGGAACTGGTACATACAGCAAGCATTTTAAGGCGGCACCTTTGTGAGAGCTATGTGTTGGTTCCTCGGGTTGGGACTCTGCGTATAATTGAACCCAAGAGTTTCCTATTTGCCTCTGCGGTGTGCAGTCTAGGGAGAGGAAAGTCTGTGCTAACTATGATAATATTCTCCATGACATGCAGTTTATAGTGTAGTGCACGAATCCGTGTAGACAATGGCTTTCAAGATCGTCATTTTACCGTTTGGCTACCTCTCCTCTGTGTCCGCCACCTTGTCTTTGGCATTAACTACAGAAACTACGGTTATTCTTAGGGTCGGCCACTTTATAAACTCGACAATCGAACAAGGTTAAACGTTAACTAGAGTTATGGTTCTCCTTTAATGGAATTTTGTTTCGTAGACGAGTGTGCAAAATGGGATCAAATTGAAGTGCGTAAGACAGCAGACTAGAAAATTCTTCGCCGATTTGCGAACTACTTCAGCTTTCTGATTTTGGCATGTAACATACGAAACGCTTTCAGAAAAGAATGCATTCAGTGCACTCATAAGTAACTTACGCTAATTTTGATTGAATCGATGTTCGTTCAGTCGAAATTCAGATAGGGAGACCGCACCAGTTTAATTAAATTTCTCCGTTCATGCCTCTAATTCTCTCTATTACCCTGGGCTGTGTGCTCTCGTGTATTGGAGTTAGCTTAAAACTAAAGCACTTCTACCGATGGCATGAAAATCGTTAGTCAATCGATCAGCTCTAGCATTCTCTTCGAAGGCCGCAGTACGGGATATTGAGGGGTTGGTGTGGAGCCACTTTACTACGCGGTATGGGACATTGAGAGGTTGGTGTGGAGCCACTTTACTACGCATAATGGAGGCAGTGAACCCGAAGCCCTTCCTTAACAGTATTACTGGGAAGCTTGTCATTGTTAAATTGAAGTGGGGCATGGAATACAAAGGTTACCTGGTTGCTGTCGACCGCTACATGAACTTACAACTGCACAGTACGGACGAGTACATCGACAACTGTTTTACCGGGAGTCTGGGCGAAGTCCTTATCCGATGCAACAATGTATTGTACATAAGAGAGTGCGAGGATGAACCCCGATCTGAAATGGACTGAGGGTTGAACATCAATAAATCCTTTTTTATATCAGATGCCCTATTTATGTTTTTCGGATCGTAAGTTGTGTTGCAACACCCAGGATTGCTCGTAATGGACAGGACGCAATTTGTAGTTTTCTGACAATCTGACGCCCTGGCCGGTTTTAGGTATCCCTTTTTTCTCTTGGTTTAGCTGTTCTGGGACTTTTTGGTATCCTACTCGACATTCGTCTTCGGTGGTGTCGAGCGTTAGTGTTTAAGTAGGATCTCTGCCATCCTCTCTACCTCCAGTTCGCGGCCACAACACTAGGTCTAATTCATAGTTTTAAACGAAAGCGGACTTGGTAATTGCTACAGGTATTTGTAAAGGGTTAAAACCCGATCGGTCTGTCTCATGTTCATACATGGTGACGTCCCCGACTTTGGGTCCAACATTGCTCACAGACGTATACTGTATTTGACTCTAGCGTACCATCAGGCCTTGCAAATAAACAGCCAGTGCCCTCGAGTGCTAATCATTAAAGGACCTGCGTGCGGCAAGGTTGCTGTGACGCGTTATCTACGTAATGCGTTTCAGAGTGCTGCTTCCCTCCATATCATCCGCAACACGCAATAGCTGGCTCGTCGCGGACGGCGTTCAACGCGGACTATCGAGGTGGGTGCAGTAGTGCCTTGCGCGTGTACCCGACAAGTGCAGTCCATTTTCGGAATGTCGGCCGGCAATATGGGTATGTTGGCAGAGGTCGGGTGTTGGCAGTGTTGCCTCGCAGCATGAGAGTATTGCACGCCTCTTTTCTTGTCCGCCTAAATTCAGTATTATCGGCTGGTGCTTTGCAAGGCCTTCGCAGGTCCGAGAACTTGTGAATTTTCAGGGTGTGTTGTTGCTTTAGTCCACCTTGCCTGCAAGCGCCCTTAGCGACGATAACCGTCTTCGCAGGCCTGCGTCACTCATCCTTACAACGTGGCAAATTCATCGCACTTGCATTTGGTTCAGCGCGGTGCATCCGCCGAGGGCACCGGTTCCCTCCAGGACCGCAGCACCGGGTATCCTTTCCTGCCACTTCATCTCCAGTATTTCCTGGAAGTAGTTGAGGTGAAAATGGTTCTTTCCTTACTTGACTCTCGTAGACCGTCCGTGTCTTTGACCGGTACTAGTGTGGTTAAGATAACGGATATACGCATGCTCAGTCTCGTGGTCAGATAGGGGCTGTGTTATTTCTAAGCTGAACGTCGTAGTCGGGCGAAGATCTGACTGGCTTCCGAGATGCGGTGGGCGATTTCGCCGTCGGTCTTAATGCTTTAGATCGTACGGGAATTTGTTCATTGGTGTGGTCCGAGTTCCGTTGAAATTGATCTTGCGTTTCTTTATACTGTCTTTATGTTAATAAGTGAGTAAATGAATAAATGAAATAATTTTATTAAAGACCCATCAGGTTCCCTTCATAGTCATTTCGAGGATTTTACAGAGAGAGGAAAAGACGTCCACAATCTGTTGCACTTCTGCTTCCACCGAGGTCTTGAGCGCGCCGTCTGCCAATATGTCATAAACCCTGGCTTTGGAAACTCGTGTACTTGCCTACATGTGTAGGTTGTTGAGCAACTGTTTGCTAATCGGACAGGCAATGTTTATTCACGGACGCCCATGAGCCTGACGAACATGAGACTGAATAGGGTGGGAGCCAGCGCACAACCCTTCTTCGCCCTATTTGTCACCAAAAATGCTTCAGAGACCGTCTGTGCCGCGGGTCATCATTCATTCATGTATTTGTCTCGTCAACAGCGTAAGGCATTCCGGACAGTCGGATTTCGGCATGTCTCCCCAAAGTCCATCGTAGCTGACTGTATCGAAAGGCCTTGTCGGGTCCCCAAAAGTGACGTAGAGACTGGTATGCATTTTTGATATTTCTCCCATATCTAGCGAGTGACGAAGGCACTGTCAGTAGTTCCGCGATTTTTTCGAAATTCACATTGTCTTTCAGGGCAAAGTCCTTGCTGCAGGTGAAGATTCCTCCAACTGAGCATAATGCGGATGAAGTTTGTGCCTGCAATGCTTGGGAGAAAAATGCCTCTTTGATTATCACTCAGTTGCCAGTCTGCCGTCAGTTTATAGAAGTGAAAGATAGTGGCTGCCTTAGATTCCTGACGGAGTTACTATTGTCTCTATATTTCCCGAAATAAGTAGTTGAGTCACTCCACGAGCCGAGGGCCGCTGTGCTTGTAAAGTCCAAATGTGAGTAGGCTGGCGCCTGGTCCTTTGTTGCCAGACATCTGTTGCACGACTTCGGTGGTCTATTGTAGTGCGATGGGCGGTCGAGGTCTGCATTGGCTTACATTCAAGGGAGCTTGTTAACATCGTCGAATATTGTTGATGGCCTATCGGTGACGCATCTGAAGTGTTTCACCTGGCATTTCCATGGGCCAGGGGCCATAAGTCATTTTGATGTACGCGGAGGATGTCTTCGTTTAATTACCGTCAGCATCCCCTTTGACCTCTTCGGTATAAGCATTTTACACCGCCCTCCGGGCCTTTGCTGTACTGCGGCCCTGAAGACCAACTTTATTGGTGTTGTCGGCGTTCGCGACCGGGAGTTTCCATGACGATGGCCTGGGTGGCGTCCTTCAGCAACATTGGTCTTCATGGTCTGCATCCGTTCCAGGCTGAAATTCATTCAACTGCTCAAATTTAATTGCGTTCAGCCGTTTTCACGGATACGTTATTTAACTTATCTAATGTCGGTCAACCTCGAGGGCGCCTGTAGATTCAAAGTCGCACTCATATCGGAGACGGTAAAGGGGTAATCCGTCCAGCAGTCCACACCATGTATCGCCTTGGCCACTAACACGTTACGCTGATCGCGCTACCAGGCGAGGACGTAACCCAGTGGTGCGAGCGAGGGTTCTTCCACCTCGCATTCTCCCCGATCGTGAGGCAGACGATGGTGTCGATCAGGAGGAGACTGATCTGTGCAGGCCTGTACTTACTTACTTACTTGTACTTGATACGGCTGCGATCATGTCTGATCTAGCCGGCCTCGATGATGTCCCTAACTGTACCTCTCCACGCGTGACGATCCGCGGCAGCAGATCTGGACAGTTCAACGCATTCTCTTCGCCAACGACGTAGACCAAATACCGAAGGTCCAAGAACCACCTCCATGTCTTGACGAACTGTGTCGAGCCAGGTTTTGAACGGATCCCCTCTTCGACGCCTCTAATGGGGTAGCGGTACCGAATCGAGGGCAGTAACACTGAGCTCCTGAGGTGGACGACGAGGAACATGCCCGAACCACCCCAGTCGTCTTTCTTGGATGGCCTGAGTTATTCTTGCGATGCTATCGCAACGATCGCGGACTGTCTCATTTGAGATGAAGTCGGTGAACTTCACTCGAAGGATGGTCCTCAAGCAGTGGTGGTCAAATACTTCCAGTTTTCGCCCGTACTCCACGCGCGAAGCCCAGCATTCAGAACCGTAGATAGGACAGACCAGACAGATGCACCGTACACGCGAACCTTAGTGGCGATGGAGAGGTCATATCGGATCCATAGACATTTCCGAAGGCTTGAAAAAACCCAGCGGGCAGCATCGATTCGGGAGACAATGCCATCCCTACTCGGTCCATTAGGCAACAGCCTCGCCCTAAGGTATTTAAAACTGTCTACATCTTCAAGCTGACAGCCATCAATCCCGAGGGGTGCCTTTTCCTGGTCAGGGATGCAGCTTGAGAACACTTTGGTCTTCCCAGCGTTTATGGACAAACCGACCGATTTAGCGACCTCGTTCACCCGTGACACCATAGACTGCAGATCACCAAAACTTGAAGCAAGTAAGGCGATATCATCGGCATAGTCGAGATCAGCCAGTCGATGTCCGGGTGCAAATTCAACACCGTCACTCTCGCGTAGTGCCCTCCCGAGGATCCAGTCAATAGCGTAGTTGAACAGTATTGGTGACAGGATACAACCCTGTCAGACGCCAGACCGAATACCGAACGGTTGGGAAAGATTGTTGCGAACCAGGACTCTCGCAGAAGTAGAGCGATAGTAGGCATTGATCATGGCGATGATTTTTGACGGTACACCATCTAGCGCCATTATCCGCCACAGGGACTCACGGTGAACGAAATCGAACGCGGCGGCAAAGTATGAAGCAGACGGCCGTCGGTTGTTGGTAGCTATGGCGAAATTCGAGAATGCTGCTCAGTGTGAATATCTGGTCTGCGCATCCACGTCCAGCACGAAATCCGGCTTGGTTGGGCCTCGTTCTTGAGTCACGCACAGCCTGGAATCGCCTGAGTAGGACAATAACGAAGATCTTCGCAGCAACGTCGATGAGACTTATGCCGCGATAGCTATCGCATCTCGTTTTATCTCTCTTGTTCAGGATAGGTACAAGGATGCGTAACCCCCAGTCATCAGGAACAACCTCGTCTCTCCACGCTCGTTCAATCACCTCATGGAGCCAGGGCGCCAGAGTGTCGACACAAGACTTGAAGACTTCAGCGGGTATACCGTCCACTCCGGGTGCCTTGTTGTTGCGCAACTTTCGTATGGCATCGGCGACTTCTCCCTCGGAGGGGGGATCGTATGGCACTGCATAGGTAGGGGAGGGAAGAAACTCCGCTGAGGAGGAGAGCAATGGCGAGGTAGGTTGGGTATCGAAGTTCAGATGGTGCTCAAAGTGCTCACGCCAGCGCTTGACTTTGGTCGAGTTGTCAGCAATAAAGCCGCCGTTCACATCGCAAACAGAGTCACTCAGTGTAGAGGGCTTACCGCTAGCTTTCGAGTGCCACCAGCGTTCGAGGCCTGTTCCATGGAGGTCGCTATTTCAGCCCAATATTGCTTCCGGTCATCCCTGGCCGATTTTGCCGTCATCTTCCGAAGTTGGCGGAAGTAGTCATCGTTGCGGGACCTAGCTCTAGCCGTCTGAGCAGAAAACTGCAGGGTTCTTCCGCTGATCCAGTCACTGCGGCGTCGCTGGGTGTATCCAAGGATTTTCTCAGCTGCCCCATAGACTGAAGTCTTCAGTGATGACCACTGGTTACTGACTTCTCCGTCGGCTCGGGTCGTAAAACAGGTCCGGATTTCTCTGCTTAGGGCCTCGGCAGTGCTGGCCTGCCGGATTTTTGCGACATCAAGGCGTCTAGGACGGGCATTTTTGGCGCGGATGAGAGATGAACTTTCAAGCGTGTACGGACGAGGACATGGTCCGACCCACGGGCGTTACCAGTCTCGGCACCACGCATCGATCTGCTATCGTGAACCCAGCTGCGGAACCTTGACTTGACTAGTATGTAGTCAATCTGACTGGCCGTATGACCGTCGTTTTAATACAGTCATTTTGTCCGTCTTCGGCGCAGCCGTTATGAGGACATGCAGATCTTCGCAGAACTTGCTGGTCATTGGGGGAGAGGACGCGTAGACACCGACTACAGTGGCAAATTAGTTCCAGCGGAGTGGCAGAATGGTTATGAGACGACCGATGATGCCCTACGTCAGGCAGGATAGTCATCTCAGGGCGTTATTCTTAATAACCCAAGCAAATTAGGTGTGTCGTTGATGTGCCTTTGGACGTCCGCTACAGAAAAAGGTATGACCGACACCCACTTCCTCCAAGTGTCCTCCTTCGGAGAATCGAGTCTCACTGGGAGCCGCGAAGTCCGCTTTGTTGCGTGCCAATTAACGACCAACCAGATCTTTCTGGCCGGTTTCCCATAAAATTGTTTAAAGTCGAACGAGCATTCCAGACTGACGGAACGAGTAGTGTAACTTTGGGAGACTGTGGAGGGGCAGGGGGATGGGGACGTGGTTTGTTGTATTTTTTTTCGGCCGCATATTTTGCGTCAACGGGCCACGGCCAGCCTGCCGACGGTACGCTTTACCAGCAATCTTTAGGC